CCTGCACAAAATTAAGGATTAGCATGTCTCTGGTGGTACCATGGGCAAGTGTGGGCTGCAACCTGAGAGCCAGCAGTTGCAATCGCTCACGGCCCTGTGGGGAAGAGACCTGGAGCTCTGCTCCTGTCAAGACTGCAGCGTGGGAGACGCTTTGGGGCAGTGTTCCTTGGTCTGATAGGTTCCCTTTTGAGTTGGAATCAAGTGGATGGTACCTAACAATAGAAAAGCAGAAGAATGCCCCATTGGCATTTCCAGAGATAATTTTAGGTGGAGCCAGGTGGAACTGGAAAATTAAAATTGAACAAGGATAAGCTTTTAAAAAAATTCTTGTGTTAATAGATGTACGTATGGATTGTGATAAGAGTTGTTTGAGCTCCCAATAAAATGATTTTTAAAAATTAAAGAAAAAAATAGAGCATGTCCGAAGTTGGACACACACAATGAAATAATTATAATTGTCTTCTTTTATTTTTATTTTTTAAATCATTTTATTAGGGGCTCATACAACTCTTATCGCAATCCATACGTACATCAATTGTGTAAAGCGCATCTGTACATTCATTGCCCTCATCATTCTCAAAACATTTCCTTCTTTTTCTTGTTCAATCAAGAAAAAAAAAATTCTTGTGTCATTGCAAGGAATTGGTTTTGAGTTTGGTTTTAGTATGTCATAGCACCTCTTTAATTCTTGCTAATTTAATTCCCATTTTCTTTGCAAAGAGAGCAGACTTAGAAGTTTGCTTTACATCGTATCTACCTCAATTAGAATACTTTTTGTGCATCTGTTTTTATAAATGTCATGACATACATTAGTGGTTTTCTTTTGAAGGTAGATAGTTAAAATTTTCTTTTAAAAATATGTGAATTTTTTTTCTTAAAGGTGAGCTGTCATTATTAAATATTTTGATAAAAGATTCTATAGAAAAGTCCTAATCTAAAGGTGGGGGAGGGGGGTGCCAAACAGAATTTAAAAATTCTCATGAACTCTGTGCTTTCTGAAGCTATGGAGCCTGGATGGTTCCCTAAAATTATTGCCTGGAGAAAATCTTTAAACCTTAAACCAGAAGAGTATCCCCTGAAGTCTTTTTTTATACCAAAGAATAGTTCAGCTTAATTTTAAAATTAAGTAAAGACGAATGTCTGCCTTGAGCATTCTGTTCCCTTGAGAAATTAGCGCAGCGGCTTGAGCGTGGCGCTGGCTGAGGAGCAGGGCGGGCACGACGAGGAGGCAGTGGGGGGCGAGGGGGGTGGTTGTGCAACTTGAAGAATAAACTTGACAGACATGGTCAGTCGGCGCCTTCTGCAAGTGGAATGTTAACAGTCACAAAACAATAAAAGAAAAACATGAGCCGGCTTAGGGAATGATGTAAAGATATATATTAATTCAGTAGTTAATAGCATTGACTAACATTAGACAAAAATCCTAAGGGGGGATGTGGTTTAGGATCAGGAAATAGCCTTTCTCTGTACCCTGGACTCACTCCGTGGTTTTTCCTTTTGCCCCATCCGTCCCTGCAGGGAACTGGGGTTTCTAGAGCAACTCAGGATCACCCACAACACAGACATATTTATCGGGATGCACGGAGCCGGCCTGACCCACTTGCTCTTCCTTCCGGACTGGGCTGCGGTGTTTGAACTGTAAGTGTGCAGGGCTAGTTGACACGGGCTGAGAGATGCCATTACAGGGAAGCCACGCTCTGGGGCCACGGAGGGCAAGCAGGAGGCAGTGCCAGCACTTTCAGGTCTGCTGTTTGCCGTGCACCCAGGACACACACTTTCTCCTCAGCTCCCTCCCCGACTGTGAAAGAGCCGCTTCTGTCATCTGAGCCTGCGCGTGCAGTGTGGTGTCACTGGGAGAGAAGTGCAGCCTGTTGCTCGGCC